CACCGCCATGGTGGCCAACAAGGGAGGCACCAACAATGGAGGATTTAGGAAGAAGACGTCACGCTCCTTCCTAACACATGATGGCATCGGTTTTGGAGGGCCTTGGGAAAAAATGGGCCTTACCCAGAAGGAATGGCAGGAAAGGATGGATAATCGTCAATGCCTGAAGTGTGGCACTGAGGGGGACATCATTGCATGGTGCCCTCTCATCCGAAACCCAAAAGCGAGCAGCCAGTAGGGGTAGCATATGCTCCTGCTGAGCCGGAGGGTGTAGGTAAGTCAGCACCACAAACCCCTTTCAACCCTCTAGCTTGCATGGCAGAGGATGGATCTTCTTCGGCCCATCATCCAGACCACCCTAAAAAAGTTAAGTGTTTTGTCCCGCTGGGTGATTCCCTTGATGAACTTGGATGTGAATTGATTGCCTTGCGAAGGTCATGGGCTAAGAAAGCGAAAAGTAAGGGTGAACTAGTAATCGCAGATTTTGAAATTGCGCAAACACGAGTTGGTGCTTCGTTGGATCCTGGGTCTACGTGGTCCTACATCTTTGAAAAGGCAATTCGCAAGTTGCACCTAGAGGTGTGAGTGCAGGACCTACCAAGACTGATCGCGTCTATGCTTGCGGATCAAAGTACCATCATTGTCTGATAATACGTCGATCGTGTGGGGTTATTTCATAACAAAGGAATGTAGGATAATATGACATAAATTTACCTTCCTAGTTGAGAATAACTTACCGTTGACTTGATTCTGGGTATGGATTAGCACGAGGAAGCAAAGCCAGAAGTCAAGTTCAAAGATAAAGTTGTCAAATTGAAGGAAGAAAAAATCCGAAATGCTATCAATTAAGTTGTTTCGCAAGTCTGGTTTCGTTTCTTACTTTCATTTTATAAGTTTTCTGTTTTCCAAAGCAAGGTCACAAAAAAGAAGTTGGCACAAGATGTAATGATGGTACTCGTCAAAAATGTGGACGAGTGTTCTTCGTCTTATCCTCCTCCTATCGAAAAATCGCTCGATGAATATAAAAACTTGCAGTTCGAACCAACGAGAGTAATTGAGTAGTGTTATTAAGCACACCATTGAAATCATTCATGGAAGCAAGATTCCCAAAGGACCGATCTACCGTATGTATGAGGGAATTGGAAGAACTTAAGAAACAACTGCAGGAACTTACAGACAACAAATGGATTACACAAAGTTCCTCTCCCTACGACGCTCCTGTGCTTGTCGTGCCCAAAAAGGAAGGAGAACTTAGACTGTGTATTGACTACAGAGGATTAAACTCTGTACTGTAAAGAGTGCGGAACCCCTTCCTCGAATTGATGACCTTCTTGATTAGTTGCAAGGTTGCATATACTTCAATAAGATTGATCTGAAGCCTGGCTACCACCAGATCGAAGTGGCACCTGAGCATCAACACAAGACGACGTTCCGAACAAGGTATGGGCACTATTTCATTGTAATGCCTTTCGGTTTGACTCACGCCCCAACAACCTTCCAACGGTCTATGAATGAACTGTTCCGACAGGGGTTAAACCAGCTCGTAGTGGTGTATCTTGGCGACATCCTCGTCTATAGCAATATTTTGGAAGACCACGAGACACACCTGCGAATAGTTCTACAAAAACTAAGCGAAGGTAGTTATAAAGTGAACCCCAAAAAGTCAAAATTTGTTAAGTCTGAGATACTATACCTATGACTATAGAGAATGAACAAGGATTAAGGCCATAAGAAAATAAGATTACAACAATTAGAAATTGGCCCAGACCCAAGACAGTCACCGAGTTGCGATCCTTCCTAAGACTTGCTAGCTATTATAGGAAGTTTGTAAGAAACTTCTCCCTTATAGTTGCACCTATGAGAAGACTGGTAAAGAAAGAGAAACATTCGTTATGGGACAAAGATTGTGAGTCAACGCTCAAGAAATTGAAGTATGCGCTAACTCATTACCTTGTCTTGAAATTTTTTTATATGTCTCTTCCTTTCATATGCGCTAACTCATTACCTTGTCTTGAAACTTTTTGATCTGTCTCTTCCTTTCATTGTCACAACTGACGCTAGTCGGTATCCAATTGGGGTTGTGCTACAACAAGATGATGGAAACGGCTACAGACCTCTAGAGTTCATGTTTAAACGCCTACCCTTAGAAAAGGTACCTAACTCCACCTTTGAAAGGGAGTTGTATGCCTTAGTTGGAGCATTGGACACCTGGAAGCACTACTTGCTCGGAATACACTTCACAGTCTCCTTAGATCACTCGACCTTGAAGTGGATCAAGACAAAACCTCGACTATCCGAGAAGTTGGTAAGATGGTCTGCATTCATTGACACCTTCGACTTTGAGTTGAAGACCATCAAAGGAAAGTCTAATGTTATTGAGAATGCTTTGTCCAAACGTTCTGATTTCTTTTGTACTATTGTTACCTACCTTGACATCCGAACTGAGTTAAAGGACGAGATTTGAAAAGGGTATGCTAAGGATCCTATTTGGAGTCCTATCATTCAGACCCTGCAAAGAAATCATGAACTCTTCCCTAAGTTTCAGATGTGATGGGTTTCTGAATATGGATTCCCGAAAACCATCGTATCTGATAGGGATGTCAGGTTCACAGATCCGTAGTGGCAAAAACTAATGGATGTTTATGTTGCTATGTTGACCACGTCGTTAGGGAGACATTATGAAACGAACGCGCAAACTGAACAGATGAATCGACTGTGCCAACAACTTTTACACATGTATGTTCTACTTGACCAGATTGATTGGGGCGAGAACTTACCTAAAATTGCTAGTGCATATAACAACAGTGTTCACACTATCACTGGTAGGACACCCAATGCAATGCACAAAGGTTGGATGCCGAGGCACCCTATTGATGCTTTGACCAGGGAACAAGTCCAACAGCTACCCCAGGTACGAGAGAATTCACAATTTTGTATGAACAAGATATCTTTAAGGCAAAGGAGAATATAAGAAAAGCCCAGATTCGGATGATTGAACAAGCAAAAAAACATCGGAGACCAGCGCAGTTTAACGACCTTGGGAAGGTGACCTGGTCTGGGCAAAATCTAACGAATTCTCCCTTGAAGAAGGAATATCGTAGAAATTGCTGCCTGTCTACTATGGACCTTGGGAAGTTCTCAAGGTGATAGGGGATACAGATGGATTGTCATATCGAGTTGACGTACCCCCACACCTAAAGACTTATCGTATCTTTCATGCCTCTAAACTGCTACCCTATGCCGAAGGCCAAGATTTCCCTAACAGGCCATCCATGTTCCCATCTTCTATGGACGGAGGTTGTGAAGTTGAACGAATACTGGACCATGGGTACTTTCCCACAGGTGGCAGCGGAAGACCACATAAGCAGTACAAGGTAAAGTTGAGGGCCCAACCTGAGTCTCAATCTAGATGGTTTAGCAAACGAGAACTTTTACCAACTGCACCTGACATTATCGCAGCCTATGAACAAGGGTTAAAAGGAAACCAGGACTAAAGAGTCTTTTCTACGATGGAACTCGAAAACTGGGCAGGGTACAATGCAATAACCCAAGTTCAGCATCTGCGTAGACGATCGTAACTTGTGGTCAAAGGTCCGCATAAGGGGGCAAAAGTCACGCCCAAGCCTGAGAAGAGTCGGGGAAAAGTCCTAAGGCCAAGGGGTACCCCAGGCCAAGGCAAAAACGACCTTCAGAGGCCCTATGGGCGACAGTTGATCTTGGGAAAGTCAACAGTCAACCCAAGTAGGGGACTCCAGGTCCAGGGTTCAAAGTCAACCCGCTGGTCAGCCACATCTTTGGTTGTCTGCAGGAATCCAGAAGATTCCAGTCCGACTTGGACACAGAGGGAATTGGGACTGCGCTGCATCCAGGCCATCCGCTGCTGATTCATATCGATAGTCGACCTCAGGAGACCAGAGGCCGGTCAACTTGAGTCAACATTATAAAGTTGACCCAGCCCCTGCTTGAGATCATTCCGCCTTGCACTGGCTTGATGCTGGTTCGACGACGCAAGGCTACAGGAGCTTTATTCTGGCGCAGTGTCTGAGATTGAGCATCAGCGAGGAGGGAGATTATGTTGTTGCGGCCATAGCCGCGTCGAGTTGACCTTGATAGCAGAGGAGGCGAGGAGGAGATCTGGACTGTGGAGTTGATGTGTGTGATGAGGGGAAGCTTACCTAGACTTAACTGATACAAGGAGTGTGATCTGCTGCTTGTCTTCAAGTGGACTGCGCCATCCTTGTTAGCTGTTGCTGACGTGGACTGGGGATGCGCAGATAGTTGTGACCTGGGCAAGTACATGTCAAAGATCATCAGAGGAGTACTGAATTGATGAGTTGACGTTAGTGGGAGATGCACGAGGAGCAAGTCGGCGAGAGGAGGAAACTATTGAGCTATTGATTCACAAGGGACTCTCCTTCTCCTCTCCTCCACTCTGTCTTCTCTCCCCCGCCTCTCATTCCCTTCTCTGGGTTACGGGATGATGAGAGATTTCATGTACTTTGACTTGGACTCATAATCAATTTTTGGAGACAGCATCATTGCGCTGAATCAGACTTGCATCACGACACGTTTGAGCTTCTCATCTGATTAGGTTCATTACAACGACATCAATATTGGTGAATTTGTTTTCAGGTTGACATAGCATTGACAAGTTATTTCACAAAATGTGCACAATTCGGAAAATGTAATTTCATTCCTGAATCCTGAGTGATATTTTAACAACTGATGTCCTGAATACCTTCCATTGAACACGCTGGTATAACAGCCTGGAGGAGGCCTGGGGAGCTATCAGGTGGGGGGAGGGGCTTCGATCTAATTGTCGGATTGCAATTGTACCAGCAAGACCCTGTCACAGGCCTCGTCCGAGGTCCAGTAAGTCCAGGGTTGGGCAAAAGACAGGTTCGGCAGCCTGGAAGAGCCCAAGGAAGTCGCAAAAAGAAAAACAAAAAAAAAAAAACAAGAAAAAACTGTGGCTGCTGACCCTGCAAGGAATCCATTACCGTTTGCAAATGAGAAAGACGATCACCGTCGTTGTTCTGCATAGCCCACTGCTTCAGCTGCTCATACGTCAAAAACTGAGCGGCAACACAGTGAGACCACAAGCCACAAAAATCAGAATCAGCTGACTCCTCTTTGCAATCCATTTTTCATTCCTGCAAATGAACACTGTACACAATCCATAGTGCACCCATCCACAGAGTTCAGTGTGTGCCCGTATGTTGTCCCCAAACAAATCGTAAACCTGTACACGTACTTTCACATACTCTGCCTTCTGGGCAAGAAGGCATTCGCCCCACACTGAACCCCTGCTAGCATACACCACGCCACCAACACCCAAAATATTGCACCATCCCCTCCACCGTGCCACGTGCATGTAAGCACCCCAGACACAGTCCCTGCCCATGTCAAATTCTGCATTCACCTGTTTGAATCCCCAGATATGCATTAGTACACGAATGCATTATCCTGCATCCCCAACTGCTGTACTTGACCAATTTGCCTGTAACCAAGACTTCATCTTGCATGAAAGTATGTCCCGAGTCCTGGTCCCAGAGTCCCAGCTGCCAGCTGGGCTCAGTCCCAGTAGGTCCAAGTAGGACCCAGGTTGAGGGCCCTAGGAGTCCGGTAGGCCCTAGGGGCCGAAGCGTCGTAGGTCTGCAGCGTCTGGTAGAATAGGTCGTTAGAAGTCATAGGCCCGGTACCGGACAACAAAAGTCTGCAGTCCCAAAGTCCAATTTTGCAGCAGCATCCTAAGAAAGTCGGTAAGTTCCAGAAAGGGCAAACTGGAGCAAAAAGGCCACATCAACCGGTGCCTGTCATAAGCCGACAACAATTCACTTCAGCTGCTATTTATAGTTGCGACAGTGATTCACCTGGTCACTTGTCAACCCGCATGGTGCATTAGCTCTGCTGTAGCGCTTGTGCGACCAACAGTTTGGACAGTCAGCTGGCAACTCGAGAAGAAGGGGGATTGGAGACAAAGCTAGGGTCGACCGGGAAGAAGAAGTCCGCCATAGCTGAAGAGGGAATGAGGCGAGTGTATTCAGCAAGTGAGAGCGAGCGATCCAAGACCTGAGAGTGAGAGAGAGACAGTCAGCAAGTGAGGATGAGCACCTGAAGTATTGAGAACACATAGAGAGGAGAGACTGAGAGAGAATAGAAAGAAAGTGGGAGATACCTGTTTTGTGATGCTGGCGATAGCAGCCATTAACATCTTGTATTTGAACTCAAATTGAAGTGTTTGGAGGTGATTGCATCACTTACGTGCTGACTTGCCATTGGGATGCTTGGGGTCATATTTCGTGAAGTTTTCAGTGTGCTGCAAGTGTGTGTGGATGTTCCTTGAACTGGTATCAGAGCCTGCGCCCATTACACTCGTGAAGAGGAATGTGACGCCGGTTTGGATCAAGGCCGATAGGAGGTGGATTAGGGTTGACCTCGAGGGGAGGCCGGTTGGAGAAGGGCGAAGGAAAAGGGGAACGATAAGGAGTGCGTACTTGCATTGTCATCAAGCGGCGAGGAGCTTCAGCCGAAGACTTGAGTGAAGTGTTCTACCCCTACCCTTGTCGTTTATGCATTTGTTAGGTTCTGTGAACTCTACCGGAACTTTCCCAATTTGGATGCTGCTTGTCACAAATATTTGTTGATGTCACTTTGGTTGCAATTCTTGTTGACGTCATCTTGAATCTTTTGAGTATGTCGAGTGTTTGTTTGAGTCTCTGGAGTCAATGTATGGTCCTGGTTGACCCGACACCTGGACCGTGATCAGGCTAAGTAGGGAGTAAGGGCATGCGCGGCCGGCGCTCATAAAACAACATGTCTAGCCCTAAAACCACTCACTGGCACACAACTGAACCGTGTAAGCATGGGCATGAGTGGCTGGCGCTTGTTAATTGACCTGGCTAGACCTAACATCGGTACTATCAGGCTTGTGACCGAACCATGTGACACTGGAGGCGTTTGTAAGTCTTGAGGGAGACCTTGTTTGACCGGTGGCCACACCCTCCTTTGTGTGGTGTTAAAGAATTCTTGAGGACGTAGCTGACAGTCCTTAAATTCCTGGTTGGCGACCAGACATACTTGGAATCTGTGGTGACAGGTTGACGGCAGCCAGAATGGGGAAATCAAGTAACGGTCAGACTACGTTGTAGGCTGTAGGTCAAGCTACGTTGTAGGTTGTAGGTCAGGCCACACTGTAGGTTGTAGGTCAGGCCACACTGTAGGTTGTAGGTTGTAGGTTGTCAGTTAAGTGCTTCGGAGGTGGACTGGAGCTTACCGCTGTGCTGAAAATTCACCATGGACAACTACCCTACGTTCATATACCTCGCCCTTACCGTGATTTTGGGAGGCGCTGCTCTGAATGATCTTTGCTAGGCTTCCACCGCATGAGCAGTAGTCACAGTACTGAGTTGTTATCTGGGAGGAAGACTTGAACCTGGAGGATCCAGGCCATCCAGAGGAGCGAAAAAGGGTGGAGAAAGGAAAGGAGAAAAAGAAAGGAGAAAGAGAAAAGAGAAAGAGAAAAGAGAAAGAAAGAATTGGAAAAGAAAAGCAGAAGACAGTGGCAGAGGAGATGAAGAGGGTGGAGTCTGAAGAGGAAGATGAGGAGGAGGAGGAGGAGACAAAGGAGGACGATAAAGGGGAAGAAAACCGCTACTAGCAGAGGTGCAGAAGGCGAGACTTCGACCGGTCCCAACTACTGCAGGACACCAGTTGACCCCTCTGGCCCAAAGCTGACACGGCACCGGAGAGACGCAATTGCGATGCCTCAGGGAATGAAACAATGCAGGAGCTAGAAGAGAGGGACCAGACGGTGCAAGCTGCTATAGTTGCTGCAAAGGGGGAAGAGAAGAAGGTGCATAAGGAAGAACAGCGGTTTGAGCAGGCAAGGCAGGCCATGCACAAGAGAAAGAAAGGTGTGGAGGTGAAGAGGAAATGCTGCAGGAGGGAGCAATGTTGATAGGCAAGTTAAAGGAGCAGGCCCAGCAAGAGACTGCCCCCAAACTCTCCGTCCTCTCCCAAGTAGCACTGCATTCTGCCAATGAAACTGGCGCTTTACGCCTGTCGGGATCAGCCTGATTTCCAAAGAGGACAAGATAACGGGTAAGTGGAACTGCATGCTCGAGAATACGTACCATTTAGCTCGTAGAACATGTGAGGAATATGGGGGCACCTTGTGGAATACTGCAAGATGCATGGGGTGAAGAGAGCGGTGGTGAAGAAGCCACAAGGCAATGATGGAGGAGATGACGGAGGAGATGGAGGAGATCATGTAGATGGCAACGGAGACGAGAACCGAGAGAAAGGAAAGATGGAAGAGTGTAAAGGGGAGAAAAGGGACAAGATAAAGGTCAAGGTCCTCTTCACATACAACGGGGAAAAGGAGGAAAACATCATGCAGTGGGAGGTGGCGATGAGAACGTGCCTATGGCGCAAAAGATCCTGCAGGAGGGACAAGTGTTGAAGGCCACGTCATGTACGGGAGGGGATGACTCGAATTACGTGTCGCATGGCCCACCACTCAAAGATGACTAACATAGACAAGATATTGCAAGAACTTTTCGATCGGTTCCAAAATAGAAACCGCGCTAGGAGGACCACACATCTGACACTGAACATCAAACGACATAATTGGACGAGTGTGGCAGTGTTGAAGACCACGATGGATGAGTTGCTTAGGTCAAGGACCATAGGGCCACACCTTCCCGATACTGAATCATTTGGCTCTCTCACTGCCCGAACCGTTAAAATGTCAGTTGTATGTTCCGTCCCAAGAGACCGACATGATCTACAAGACCTTCAACAAGCACGCCGTAGAGCAGGCTGGTTTCTTGCAGCAAGCAAACTACCACTTCCACCGAGACCTTGCGAGGGGTAAGAAGTGGAAGGGCAAAACCATTGCAGGGAACATCAAGGGGAAAAACATTATTATAGTCACGTTCGAAGGAGTCGTCGTCGAGGAACTCCCCTATGAGCTGATTGATTATGGACAAGACGAAGAGGAGAGCTAAGTAATCCATGGAGGGGATTACGCGGGCGTACTAGCCCACGGGGGAGGGCATGGAAGAGGCCGCGGTAGAGGAGGTTGTGATAGAGGAGAACGAGGACAGGAGACCAGTAAGAGTTCCAAGGGGGAGGAAGGGGATATGGTTCCCAGGGAGATGGTCGTGGAGCATCATCCTGTCAAGGTGGAAGGAGAGGCAACTTTGCCCTTGCCAATACAGGAAGTTGTGGGTATCGGGGTCCCTGTAGATATCCTCCAAATCCAAGATGCGAGGAAGGAGAGACTAGGAAGGCACCGAAGGTGGTGTGGAGGAATGGGAGCGAAGAGGGGGGGATCCGGGCCACATTATTCCCTTTTGCCTGGGGCTGAGACAACCAGCAAAAGGGAATGTGCATGCCGAGTGGAAGCTGCACCTACTGTACACGATTTTGGGGACAAGTAGCAGGTTCAAAGCATACAAGGCAACGCACAATTGTACAATGTGTTAGGGGAGGTCTGGGGATCGAGTCCTGGTATCTGCAATTGTCGCACAAACTGGGTGAAACCCTTTCACTCCCGCCGTCCTAAATTCGAGGTCCTCCAAGAACTATCTAATTCAAGGCAGGACCTTTACTTTTTCTTGCTCTTTCGTGAGCATGCACTATGTCGGGAGCGGTTTCTAGAAGCTCGGTCCTTGTGAACCATATGTCGTCCTCAGGTTCCTGGTAAGCAAACCGGACTTTGTACTGCTTTTGGGGACGACCTCCAACTCTAGTCCATAATACATCTTCTTCTAGTATTCGGTCTATGTCATAGGTGCCATCCATAACTGGCAGAATCATCGATCTCCTCGAAGGAAATTGTTGGTTGGTGACACAAGGTAACAACTTTGATGCATCGAAGGTTGGATACGTATGGAGGTGAGGTGGAATCTCTATCGTATATGATGGTCCATCCTCTCCACCTTAGACTTCCAAAACAGGCCACAACCCTCTATACGCGGGCAAGAGCTTCTATGAGATGTTTTCTTCTTGTGCGAATTCCTTTGACTTGACACAGACTAAGTCGCCTACCCTGAATTGCGAGGGTCTG